GCCAGTGAGCGGGAACCGGTCTGTATGTGGGATCCGGTCTGTATGTGGGATCCGAACCCTCAGGCGGGAGCGCCCGCCGCGCTTCCCAAGCGGTGCACTTATCCAGTGCGCCACCGGGCCGGCCCCACTCGCCAACACTTTTTGATAATAGCCATTCTAACAGGTGTGAGATGTTTCATTGTGTTTTTATTTTGCATTTTCCTGATCATTAGTGATGATCAATATTATTGATATTTTAATTAGGATTTTCCCATCTGAATTCTTAGGGAAAATTGATCTATGAAATTTATTTATTTATTTTTTTGTATTATCGTTGTCTGATCTTAGTAACAAGACTCACAGAAAGTGAATTGGGGGAGCCTCCTCTGTTTTTCAGTTCTGTGAATCAATTCATATGAGGTGGAGATGCTGGACCTCAAAGTTTGCTAGAAGGAGGCTGTAAAAACATCTGGGGTGGTGCCAGTGGGGATGGAGACCTTTGTGTTTGCTGATTCTATTTCTTTAATGATTATTGGTTTATTTAGTTTTCCATTTCTTCTTTGTTTATTTAGATAATTTTTACTTTCCTGGAAAATTATCTGTGACATATATTTTCAAAGTTATTTGAATAAAATCATCCATAAATTCTCTTATGACTTTTTTCATCTTAATATATTTATAGTTTTATCCCCCTATTTAATTCTTATTGTGCTATATCTTTTCTTCTCTTCCCCCCAACCTTTGATTTATCTTCCCAGGGATTTGTCTATTATTAGCTGTTTCAAAGAACCAATTTCATCATTTTGTCTGCTTTTTCTTTGATTTCTGTGTCAATAACATCTATGTTTCCTTATTATTGTATAATTTCTTTTGTAATTTCTTCTTTGATTCATTAATTGTTTTGAAAGTATTTTGAATTTCTAAATATGTATGTTTTTCTGCTTTGTTTTAACTTTTAATTTTATTACATTATGATAGGAGAACATGGTTTGTAAGATTTCAGTTTTTTGCTATTTGTTAAGAATCCTTTGCTGACTAGTTTGTGGTCAATTTTGCAAGCATTTATCGTGTTCTTACAGCAATATTTAGTTTATTTTTTACATAGAGTTGTGTATGTCTATTAGATCAACTTTATTTACTATTTATTTATTTATATAACTCTATTACATATTAACTTTTTTTGTCACTTTAAGCTCTGATTCTGAGAAAAATAAGTTAATACTTCCCACAATGATTGTGGATTTGTAAGTTTTTTTTTTTAAATTATGTTTTGTTTCATTTGTGTTAACACTTTGCAGTGAGGTGTGTATAGTTTCAATGGTATCCTTTTAAATGTTCCTTTTAAAGTAATATCCCTCTTTTTGTCCTAATAAATTTTACTACCCTAAAATCTTTTAGTTCCCTGATGTTAATAGTTTTGTCACTTTTCATTTCTTTACTATTTGCCTGGTAAATTTTTTCATGCCTTTACTTTCAATCTTTCTGTGTCCTTTTGTTTCAGGTTTTGAAAGCAATTGTTTATCCAGCCTGCTCATCTTTGTCTTTTAGTGGACAAGTTTAATTCATTTACGTTTATTACAGTTACTGATATATTTAGACCTATTTTTAACATCTTTTTTGTGTTTTCTGTTTATCATGCCTCTTACCTTTCTTTTTTATACTTTCCTATCTAATTGGATTTTTTGAATTTCCCCTTTTCTTCTTTATTGCTTTCAAAGTTTTTCTTAAAATATTACTATCTTTCT